GGAATCATCCGCCCTGGATTCCCTGTGTTTCCAGTTCCTATCTGTACCAGTGTACATCCTCTGGTCTAGCCAGATTTGTAAGGTAGAATTGGGATCATGATGGTTTGTGTGTGGGGGGGTTCTTAATAAACAATTACTCTTTGATATCAAGGTCTTTCTTATACACAGGAGTGTCTATGAATTTCTCTATTCTACCTGGACCTCCACAGTCGCTCTGCCTGGGGGGGGGGGGGCCTTGGGGAGGCTCGGCTTCCTTGGGAGAAGAACGCCTGATTCCTTGCTGGCAGTCAGTTTGGGGTGGTGGGTGTGAGAGGTCCCAGTGCCCACCCCCACAGCTGGCCCACCTCTCCCACTGTGGGAAGGCCCAGTGTGCCCCAGTGGGCTGGCTGGGCTGCTGTTTGTGGCCTCTGGGCCCAACGCTCTCCCGTCCTTTGCTGGGCAGGACCTGCCCCCACACCGCTTGGGGCCCATGGTGTTTCTCCGTGGGCTGAGGTGGCCCAGATATGGAGAAAGACGTTAGATCCTGAGGGAAAGCAGCTTTGCAGAGTCTTAAAGCATTTGATTGTCAAACTTCACACACACACACACACACACACACACACACACACACACACACACACACTGATTCAGGCCAACGGCTTGTCCTTCCAGAGTCTGGTTGCTGGGAGGCGAGGGGACTCGGGCAGACCTCCGGTGGTGGCCCAGTGAGTGGCCAGCGTGCTTCTTGCCGGGGACAGTGAGGAGGTCCCTGACGCTGGGGCCCGGAGGCTTCTGACTGCTGCCACCCTCTCCACAGTCCTCAGAGGCCCCCATGGGAAACCCTGTGCCCTGGAAGCCACTTCAGGCCCTCCCTGTCCAGTCCCCAGGCACCCTTCCCCAGCCGCAGTCCAGGGTAAGCAGGTAGACACTCGGAGGTGGGGTGTCTTTGCTGATCACCCGCTGCAGGAGGACAGAGAAGCACCCACCCGCTGCCCACGCACAGTGGCTGTCCTTGGTGTGGCGGGAGGGCCAGGACACAGGAGAAACACACCCCGCACACAGGCTTGTGGCTTGGGACAAGCTGTATTTAATGCCGGTGTCGAAGCACCGCTCCGACCTTTGAAGGCCTTTGTCTGCGTCCTGGCCCGTGTCTCTGGGGAGGGCTCCGGTGTGCGTTTTAAACCTTCCTCTTGGAGATGAAGAAATCAGAGAGGCCGATCATACCATTCTTCCTACACTCTCTAAAGGAGGACAGGGCAGGCGCCCCTTAGCGCCCCACCGCCCTGGCCCTCCACGCATGCTCACGGAGACATGCCCCCTCCCCAGGCTTGAGGAAGGGCTGGTCTCTTTCCATCAGAGGTGTGGGTGGTCTGAGTACCCACTCCCCTCTGGGCATTTGTCCCCGGACGGAGACACTGGAGAATCCTGGCATGAATTTGGCTCAGCCACCCCGTCTGAGGGGACCAGGCACAGAGGCCACCAGCTGTCCAGGGTAGCCAGTGCAGGCCGGGGCCGGGCGTGGAGCAGGGCCAGGGGCTCTGGGGAACTGGGACTGGTCGCTGACACAGATGACAAGTGTGGGCCACTGGTGCTGGACCTCTGGGTCCTGGAGGAGAGCCTGGGTGCTGGTGCTGAATGCCTCAGCTGCACAGGCGTGGGAGTGCGAAGGTGTGAGAGTGTGCATACAGCTCAGGTGTGTGTGTCTGCGCGTGTAGACAGTACAGGTGTGTGTGTGTGTGTGTGTGTGTGTGTGTGTGTGTTTAAGTGTGCAGGTCTGGATACAGTACAGGTATACCAGCATCTAGGTGTGCAGACATTATAGGTGTGTAGGTGGGTGAGTGCGTGAGGGTGTAGGTGGCAGGTTTGCGCATGCTCAGGTGTGCTGGTGTGAGGGCTGCAGGGGTGCACAGTGGGGAGCCCCTGGGGCACTCACATTTTGTCCTTCAGGGAGCTGAGGTAGGACTCTGTGTCCAGGCGGGAAATGTCGGGGTCCAGGCTGGCCAGGTAGCGGTAAATGTAGCTGAAGGCCTTGAAGGGGATGCATGCAGGCCCACCCTCGGAGTCGGCTGTCAGGATCTGACAGGCATGCTTCATGGCTGAGTTCAGGGACTGGAACACAGTGGGGGGGAGGGGAGTTACAGCTGCAGGTGCCCACCCAGAGAGAGGGCACTAGAACGGGGGC